TGTATCTCTCTTCGATAGTTTTCACTTTTGATTTCGAAATATCAACTTAACATACCTACACCAATATGAAAATCAACAATAATGTATATATACATTTATGTGAGAATAAATGTGAAAATGTGGTGATCCTTGTTGATAACTTGTGCTTGTGTTTTGTCCTTAAAAAAAACTATAGCACGTAGTTTTGCTTCCGCCTGTCTTTCGTTTATTATATTCACAGGGCACTTTACTTTTTAATTAACACGCTTTTATTAGCTTCACTTGTATATGTATGTATGTATGTTTGTTTGTTTGTAACTCTCAAGCTCGGGATCTGTATTTGATATTATCGACATTATTGCTCGATCTATTCGCGGGCAGATGACGCTGTACGTAACCTCCTTGATATAATTCGAACTCACTTTACATGTATTTCTTCATTTGAAAAAAGTATTTTTTTTATTAACACGCGCACCTGCTGCCTTATTTGCAACCCTCCTTTGCGCGCCTGCTGCCTTAGGCTTGGTATCTGTTTTTCAGGCTTCCTCTCCGGAATTGGAAAATATCAATGGTCATTTTTCTAACCAATATACGGCTGATTGATCCCAAAGTTTAGATAACATAAATGTAGTTTAAAAAGACTAAAAAACACGCTTTTATAGTATACGAAACTAAAAAATTAAAAATAAATATAGTTTACAAAACTGAAAAACACGCTTTTAAAGAACATCGAACTAAAAAGTAAAAAATATTTTTTTAAATGACCTCAAAACAATAACGAACGAAAAATACTAATATACAATATACAATACAGTAACTAAAACTAAAATGCACCTAAAAGTGCAATGTTACATGGAAATACAGATGCCATATGACGTTGCAAAAAGCAAAAAATACTTTTATTTTCAACTCTAAAAGTCAGATGTTCTAATTGAAAAATCATGTAAAAACACACATTCAGTATGGTACTACTTCAAAGAGAACACGTGTCTGGAATGAAGTAATGTCGAAAGTAAGTAGTTTTACGTGGATTGCCATGTGGTGTGTCTCAATTTGAAATAGTGAAATTTACAAAAAAAAAATCAAAATCAAAATGCAGCTGAAATTTTTCATATGAACTAAAAATGTAGTTATAAAAACTTAAAAAAAATGTTAATTTCACGTGACTATAATTTTTTTGGTTATTGATGTCAAAATCAAATTTCTAATGAAGTTACAGTTAAAAAAATTCCATATGATGTGAACTTTAGATACTGGACATATATATGTAGGTACCTTTTATGAAACTTCCTCATATTTTCAACAAAAAAAAATGAATGCACTATGAAAGGTGTGATGAATATTGAGGGCAAAAAGGCAACAGGATTCCAAAAAATAAATCAATAAATTAAATAGGCCGATAGAGTGCAAGAAACATAAATAACTTCATCACAGAAAAAATATAAAAAATATATTCATTTTACACATCTTGACGATTTTTTAGCTTGAAACCAATTTTGTACACTTGATTCCTGCGAATAGAAATGAAAAATAATGAATAACGTTACAGGAAAAGTGAGAAAAAAATTGCGCCTGAATGATTTCAAAAGTAATACTCATTTTCAATGAAAATGAATTCAATTCTAGATAAGTTTGGTTAGCCAGTTTTGTTTGGAAATTCATAACAATATAGATAGTGGTCACGAGAGTCTTGAAAAACCCAAATGTCCACCGCTCAGAACTGAATATTTAATATTTATAGAAACAACAAAACAATCCTTATATATAAATAACGCGGTCGGTAAGATTTAAATGTAATCGGAGTGTTCGCTATTGATAACTGTCATCAACCGGTGCGGTCAACCAATACCAATGTGTTGAACGGAACATATCGTTGTCGTGTGCTGTTAAATTGTCGAATGTCATTTCATAAGAATGCAAACCTAACCTATTTATAATTAACACAATAATTCCCAAAGAAACATCAACTTTTATTAACAGTACTACAGTACTTCATTTAAAAATCAAATTTTCAGTTTGAACAAATGGATATACCAACAGAATATTACAAGAACCTGGCCACCAGCAGTTTAATAACATGTATATATGTACCAGCCGTTCTATGTGCTTTAAATTTCAGTGGGAATCTATACAATATTGGCAAGGAAGCTACTTACATTGAGTATGTCTTAGCTATGGCAGAAATATTGAAGTTCTTGAGATGCCACCTCACTCAGAAGAGTTCAAAAAAAAAGATTTCTGTGAAGTTGGTGTTCAAGACTTTTGTGACTTGTTTAATGACAGTCGGTGTATTTTACGTAGGAGCAGTTCTTTTCGGAGCCCCTGTTTTATCCGAACACTACGAAACACTGTTTTTTTCCATCCTAATGACAATATTAACGGCTCTTCCTGTGTGCTTGTTCTTAGAACCCGGTTGCGTCTTCAACTTGTTTTCTTCTCTAACATACTTTGAAGGAACCCAACTCCAGGAATACTTCCTGCTAAATATTAGAATGACCGTTTTTGGAGCTTGGTTAGGAGCAATCGTGATACCATTGGATTGGAATAAGCCTTATCAAGATTGGCCTATTCCTTGTTGTTATGGAGCTTTGGCAGGGTACTTTATAGCAAACTTATCAGCTGCATTTTCCTATGGAAACGCTGGCCACATCTCCCAGAAGAGATCAAAATTTGGCTTGTAGGGAACAAATAATTTGAGTGCTAGCAGGAAGAATTTTTTTTTCATAAGAGTTACATGAATGACTTAAGTAATAGATACCGCTGCCGTTTTGGTCTACTCGACTGAGAAAAAAGTATTTGCTCAAGCCGAAGAAGTCAGTTCGACCAGGAACTTCCTTGTAACCAGACTACAGCATTGGTCAATATGACCGAGACAGTTCATCACATCCTAAACATTAATTGCGCGGAAGTTATCATTCGATTTACCTGAAAACTTGTGCCAGTAAACTATTCTTCATAAAAAACTAAATTTGAACTTTTACTAATTATATGTAATGAGTGTGAAGTGAAAAACATTTTTTCTTCACAGTTTTGTTAGTGAATGAATGATGTAATATTTATGTTTGAATAACATATTTTTATGAAATGTTGTACTGTTGATTATTATGATTAATTTTATGTTTTGTTTTCCCTAAATAAATATTTCTTATGGATTTTTTATGAACATTGTCTTCACATTGCCAAGACACATTCACATGAGTGAATTTCACTATGTTTTGTTGACACAAGTGGCTTGCCTCTTCGTAAGACAAAGACTTTTGTATTTCTGAGATTCTAACCGATGTATTGGCCTAATGTTCAGAAATTCATGAACCTGAAAAGTCACAAATATATATTATTAATGTAAAATCAGTATTTTGACAGATAGCTTTAAAATCGGTGTACCAAATAATTTGGAATTCCTACAATATATTGCTAAAAAATTTAGTTTGTTTTTTATATTCAGGAACATTCCTTATTAGTTCAATAACATTAGTTTCCATAAAATGACTCGTTTATCCTCCATTTTATAGGAAGTAAACAAATGTATACATTACGTTGTTTTTTATTGTTAACCAAATCTCCAACCAATAAAGAAAATTTCTACAAGTTCGTCAAACAAAATCAAACACTATTACCAGATCAGGTTAGTACCGAAAATGCCTGAAAAATCTATTTGATGGAGAACGTCTACCAGCTAGGTGTGAGTCATCACATGAGTGTGAAAAATTCACAGACTGGATATACACTATATTTTTTTCTACGAATTCATTATTTTAGTAATTTGGGGTACCATAAAACGATGCTTTAATTTTTTTCATTGTCACCAACCAATATCTATATAATATCAACCAATTACATATTTTCAAAAAAATGCAGGAAAAGTTAGTAAATATCAATAGAAATTAGTTGTCAAAACCTAGTTCTGAAAATTGTGTTCTCTTTCATTACAAATAATTTTTTTCTCTTTTCATCAGAATTGCGTTTTGGAATTCCTTCGTTTAGCATCGTTTCTCATACGGCATCGATTTGGAAAAATCCCTAATAGGTAAAATTTCTCATTTTTTTGGTATAATTTTTTGATATTCGCTTTAAGGAAGATAGCAATTTTACAAGTATATTGGTTGGTACAAAAATTTCATTACTTTGTGAAAACTCAAGTTATGAATGCCGCTTTATACTTTTCAAATTTTAGTGTTGAATTCATATTCTATTTTGTATTTTCAATATGATAAATTTTATCATCCAACTACTTTTTAGAAAATGTGATATTGTAATGTTTAATTTATCTTGATGTAACACGATCACAGCCATATGGATTAGAAATTATTTCAAAAATAAAAAATCAACGATAGTTTTTCTTTTAGTGAGATGAGAAAAAAACAAATATTCAGTAGTCAGAAATTTGACAAACATTCTCAATGCAATTAAACATTTGGACATGTTAATTATGATTGTAGATAAATTTAATGGTAGATTACCTTCTTTGTTGAAGGAAGTCTTTTCGATTATGAAACAAATGGAGAGTTTTAAAACGATATGTTGAGATAGTTTGTATGAGTACTCATTTCAACAAGCTCAGTGGTGAGAATTAATGGGGTCTTACCGCTGAGCAAATTGCTTTGAAAGTGTTTTAAAGAGTGTCACCCATCTAGATGCCCATTTTTTAAAATTCAGCATATTTTATTTGTAGTATTATTAAGTACATAGCTTTCATGTTAGAGAGAACAAAATCGGGGCTGGTAGGCCGTCGCCGAATGGAAATTGTAATACCAAACAATTCGTCTGCTATTGCGACAGAAATCTCAATGACTTCGAGACTGATGATGTCTATCGCTACCCGAATTTTGTTCTCTCTAATCTGTATTATTGTTTAAATAAACATATGTAGGTTAAATACAAAAATCAAAGTTTTTCGCAATTACTCACCTTTTGCAAGGCCTACTGCAAATATTTTATCAATAAAAAAAGTACTGGTTCTTCATATCGCCATAATATTTCTTCCATCAAACTATTTATTGCTATTTTTACTTTGTTTTCAGATGAACTTTCAACACAGTCTACAACGATTCCAGAAATTATAGATGAGGAATCAAAACAAATAGCCACAGTTGTAGTTTTTGTAATATCAGCTGTCCTAGCAATAACTTTACTATTTATAGCAGCTGTTTTCATTGATTGTAGACAAGAGTAAGTATCTTAGTATTTACCTAATAGTTGGAGTATCTGTTTAAAAAACCATTTCACTCATAATGATCAATTTTTAATTTTTATTCAGCACAAGACTGATTCACAAAAAATCTAATTGAAAATATTATTTTATGAAGTAAATAGAAAAGCATATCACACTTTTGTACATATTAATGATTTTGTGGTCTACACAAGAGAAATATTTTACAATTTTTGAAAATCAATGTAGTATACTGGTGTTTTTTCTGGTACCTTTTTTGAATGTGATTGTTTTGATGTTTTGTGGAGCATTTTTAATGAAAGAAAGCTGTTTATAAAAAAATACACAAATAGATCTATTGGAATATTTATTTCATTACATAAAATAAATTATCAATACAATTCAAAAAAGTAGAAATTGAATCTATTCTATAAAGACAATAAAATCTATAAATTTCATAAAAATTTGTCAAGTTCAATTTTTTTACACATGTAAATAACACTATTATGCCTTAAAGTTTCATATAATAAACCAAAACCAGTAATGTTTTGGTCCACAATTATTTTAGTAATACTTACTATTGTATGAATGAATCAGGTTTTTATAATCATTCATTAGTGAATTCATTTCAAAGTTTTCAAAATTATAGACGCCAAATTTTCAGCAAGTCGATGAATAAATTTTTATTTGTTACATTTTTTTCAGGTTTTAATCTTTCACAATCAAAATTTATTTGTTTTTCAGCTTGTAAAACATTTAAAAACCAATTAATTTAAGAATTAAAGTACAGCTACCGGACTGAGCCATGGCTGGTGGGATACAAAGACAGTATTAGGAAAAAAGCATAAAATAAGCATCTCAATGTTGAAGAATAGAAAATCAAAACTGTGCTGCCCTCAAATGATAAACAAGTACAATTAGCGTCAAGAAAGAACTGATTATATCAGTTTTCTCTAGGAAAGTAATAACAAATTAAAATGTGATGAGTTACATTCTAAATATTGTATTTTTTTGTAACTGAAAATTTAGGTTCCAAAATTTTAAAGAATATAAAGGTTTGGGTTTTGTGGCAATACTGCCATAATAGGTATATAGCTGATTATAGAATCGGAAATAGTGACCAAATCTTAAGAGACCATTAAAAAAAAATTAATGAATTATTATACCCTGGCGTGATAGACCAGCACTACTCCCAGTATCATGAAGTTTGGTGTGTCTATTGGAAGGTTAATGAAATTTTGGTTTTTGTACTTATTCTTAGTAAAATTCATATATAAATGTTCAAGAAGAAGAAGTAGGTAATGAATTATGAATGAAAATCAAGTTTTATAAACCGTGATGTGAAATAATTTCTAACATGGCCAAATTGACTTTTAAACAAGTTTATGTAATAAATATTGAAGAACCCAATTTTTATGGGAGATAGATAAATATAAATAAAATATTAATGAATCTGTCTCAGCTTTGAACAATGCTGAAAAAATTCAATTTATATAACATGTATTTTTTGAAACTAAGAAACTTGAAAATTTAACTTTTCTCTATTATTATTTTTTTTTTCAGAAAATTAGAAAAACTCCAGGCGAAACCTATAAAAAGAAAAATTCCCAAGCTTCGACTTCCTTTACCCAGAATTGGCCTACCAGTCAGAGAAGATGAAAATTCGATAGTGGACAGAATAGAATATGCCGAACCTTCTTCTTCACATGTGATAGTTTAATCAATGACTGTATTTATTTTGAGAAATCTGATTTACTTGAAACGAGAATTGAAATTTTGAGCATAGTGTTTATGACCATGTTTACATGAGAAACAGATCAAGTGGAACTACACACCTACTTTTATAAAACTCGTGAATAACTGTTTGTAAATTTGGCATATTACTGTCAGAAATATGAGGTTTTTTCTAAGAAATGGAAAACTGAGAAAATACCTTGTGTCATGGCAGGAATACTTTCCAGAACTGCCCTATTTTGACGTCTTTATTAGTGATGCAATATATTCAGGAGAAAAATAAATGAAATTGCAGTTGCCCAAGAAATTCTTATTTCACTTTTCCTCAAATAAAACCAATAATTTCTATGTCGATTGTGAATATTCATTTAAATGTTCTGAAGCATGTCGGCGAATGAAAAAATATTTGAACAGTCTAATTTTTCAATTTAATTTTATCCATCACTTGCCTTTTTCTTATCAATTCGAGCAAGAGGTGGTCTCATCTTTATCTCAGGCATGCCACTAAAATAGTCGCCAAATGACAATAAAATGCACTTTGTGGGAATTTTCATGTCATGTATTCAATTAATAAATCCGGTTTTGAAACACTAAATTCATCTCCAAAAGGTTTAGAATTATTTAACCCGTTTGATAAAATGGTATTTTACACAAGTATAAACGTTAAGTTTTATCAACATGGGTTGTTAAAAGTCCTCCTACAAGATGCTGCGTAAACGTGGTCACTGATATAGTTTGAGAGCTCATGATGAAAAATTGCAAGAGTTGTAATGGTTCACATTTCAATTCAATAAATGGTAGATATATCCAATCAAACCACTGTTGAAAAAAATCTCAGTGGCTTTCCATAATAAGCAGCTAAACATAATAAATTTTAGCAAATTCTAATCCTGTCAGTTTGTAACATATCATTTTAAATTTACTTGTATAACTTAGTATTTTATGACACAATAAATCTTTTTTATAATTATTATTCCTCAATTCAACATAGCAACGTGGTTAAAATACATATATTCTCAGGAATTTTTTTGTGTGATAATCAGTCATAGATGTGAATTCTCCCCTCCAAAGCATCAAATTCATCCTCGATTCCATACATTTTAAAGTCATCGTGAAAATATAGTTTCAGTACATTGCATGACATCCAAGCTCAAAAAAACTGCAAACATACATCTGACGTAGGTAAAAATTTTCAGAGAACATAACTCATGTGAAAAATTTAAAATTATCAATAAGTTAACAATAACTTTAACAAAATGACCAAATGTAGACCACAGTTTCAACTCAATTTTAATATGAAAATATTGTTAAAACTATGATTGGATGCCAATAATTTGAAAGTTACAACCATGCTGCATGAATTGAGAAATATCCTTTCAATAAATTGATGTATCTAGCCGTTACTACGTGGTAGGAGATCATAATGAAGAAAAGAGAATTTAAACTTTCTATGTTTTTACCACTTTTATTTGTAACTAACATTACTGCAGTTTCGTCCTATAAGGACATTTTCAAACTAACAATGGTTGATTACATAAGCCCTTATATAGCACCCCTGTAGGTAATAATAGAGGTACTTGGCTTGATTGAGTACCTGAATTTTGTTTACTAGTTGTAATGCGGATATGCTAATTTGAAAACCGGTGAGTAAACTAAATCGATTTGATCATTCAACAGGTTGCACCCGCAATGTTGATGCTTGTGAATTTCCAAGGATTCTAAATAATTGAGTTTGCAACCCTTTCTTGCATAGTGCAAAATTTCCGTATCGTTTAGATTCGGAATCCTATGGTTGCATGCCAAGGAATTGTTTGAAAACGTCGAATCATTTTTGCTCAGTCTGAAGGACCTTTCATGTTCAGCATACCGTTTTGGGAAATTTCGACCACATTGTCTCACATAAACACTATTACACTCCGGATACTTGAGCTTATAAAATCCAAGATTTCTCCAACTTGTCCACCTTATCTTTGACATTGAAAAGGAAATCAGATAACCTGGCATGTGGTCTTAATGCCACTTCCACATTGTCCTTTCTGAAGAAATCCAAAATATGTTAGAGTTACCCATTTCTTGATTTCTGGTTGTTTGACCTGAGGGTATATTAATCTGTAAGTGAATTTATGGCTTTGTTTTCTAACTAACTTCTGGATAGTATCTGTCTTGAAACCATTATTATGACCTATCTGTGTAATTATATCAATTTTCCTAGTTGACAAAGGCAGTGCAACATTGAATTGTAGGCTGCTAATTTATGACTGTCTGGATGGAAAGAATCGCTTGGGATGGTAATGTCTGTATAGCTAGATTTTCTGGCCAACTCTAACATAACAGAGATAACTGCAGGTTTCTTCAGAAAAAAACACTATGGAAGTGGCATTCAGACCACATGCCAAGTTATCTGATTTACTTTTCAATGCCAAAGATAAGGAGGACAAGTTGGAGAAATCTGGAGTGTAATAGTGTTTATGTGGGACAATGTGGTCGAAATTTCCAAAAAGGTATGCTGAACACGAAAGGTCCTTCAGACTGAGAAAAAATGATTTAACGTTTTCAAATCATTCCTTGGCATGCAACCACAAGTTCCCGAATCTAAACGATACTGAAATTTTGCACTATGCAAGGAAGGGTTGCAAACTCAATTATTTATAATCCTTGGAAATTCACAATCATAAACATTGCAGGTGCAACCTGTTAAATGATCGAATCGATTTAGTTTACTCACCGGTTTTCAAATTAGCATATCCGCATAGTAAACAAAAATTCAGGTACTCAATAAAGCCAAGTAACTCTATTATTGACTTTATTGAGAAATGATGAAATCCCGCCTTTTGTATAAAGATGGAGAGGTAAAAAGCTAAAACCTTTCTTTCCCAAAAAGAAATCTCTCCAAAAAATATACCTCTTTCAATTCAAACATATTTGAATTTTAAAGGTTATAATGCAATAAATATGTACCTATTTTCTTTGCTAATATCAAATCAAATGTGAGCCATTAACAAATTCTTTCACATTTTTGTCACAAGCTTTCAGGCTGCTAGCACTATGAATAATTTTGAGCCAGTATCACGTTTTTCAGATTCCTCTTATCTCTTGGAATCAAGTCTCTTTATTGATAAATAATTATCACATGAGTTACAAAGACTAGCAGAAAAGTGAAGTGAAAATAAATTTTCATTGATCATAAACAAGTTTTATCACTAACATTTGATTTTTACTCAACATTGTTCAAGCCTTTTTATTCCTAAGAAGTTTTACATCTGTACATATTCCAAATAGTAATATATGTACTGTTTATTTTTTTTCGAAACAATTTATTTCAGAATGACTGAGCATTTAGCTCATTAATAATTCCTGTTGCCTATTTTATCAACTATTTTCAGCATCTGCCTAAAACCATGGCAAGGAGGGCCATTCTTACATACATGCCACCTTCAGCCTGTCGGAAATATGCAGCTCTCGGGTCAGTGTCAAAATCAACATGGATTTCTCCAACTCGTGGAAGTGGGTGGAGTACTACCATTTTCCTTTTAGCTCTTGTCATCAATTTTGGAGTTACAATAAAATGTCCACAGGCCTGGAAAAAATTGAAATTTATTATTTTGAAAAACAGCGGATTTTATTTTCTGCAAATTTTAAATCATCTTTATTATCCCAAGAAATATTGAATGTTTATTAATAGGGATTAACTGAATTACCTGAAGATGCAAATTTAAGAAAATAATAAAATATTGAACAAGTAAACACAAGTAATTATTTACCTATTATGAGCAGTGAACATTAAATTTGTTAATAGTTGAAAAATGAGAAATAAAAATTCCTGTTTTTATACCAGTTGTAATTGTAACTAACTGATACTGATACTAAGTGATAATAATTTTGTTCGTCTAGTGTTATGACTATGAATATTATTGATTTATATGAAATTCATGTTTGAAATTTTGGATTTATTTGTTATTGAATGAATGAAACGACAGAGTTTTTGTTTGTATAATGTTTTCAAATGTAATACTTCCTCCCTTATTTTGAATGAGGGGTGCTATTTTCGAATAATTTCAATATGTTTTGTCCGCGATGAACTTTCATCAATATATAATCCTAGGAATTGGTATAACTTATTGAATTATAATTAGAGTATTGATACAACTGAATCTTTTGGAAATATTCATACAGGAAGATTTATGGAAATTGAGGGTTTTTTCATTCTCTTGAAGCCAACCTGAAATTGTTTTCATGTCTATTTTTATATCATCATGAATTTTGTCGAAGTTATCCGTAGAGTTATATAATTGTTGTATCATCAGCAAATAATTTAACTAATTCCTTCAGAGGTGAATTTGTTAATGAATAAATGTATATAAAAAAAAGGAATGGATCAAGAGTAGATCTTTAAAGTAACCCAAAATGTATTTTTCTCATGTAATTTTTTTGATTTTCTATGCAAACGTATTGGTTGTCAGTCACTCATATAATTTACAAATCAATTAAGGATATTCGTGTATCCTGTTCATTATCAGTTATCATGAAGTGGTCAAAAAAAATCAATAATTCTTTTCTTTCAAAGTAAATTATTTTTTATGATCGCATGTCTCATTATTTTTGCACAAATGGAAATAACAATCTTCTACTTGTCAGTACAACAACCTATTCTTTATTTCTCTCAGAAAAAACATTTGAAGTTTTTACTTGAAATTGAATCTAATTCTTTTGAATTTAACGTTACATAAAAACTTTTTCTAATCAGTTGGGGTCAACAGATCTTTACACATGCGTCATCAATTTGTTCATTCTAAATAAATCGAGAAAGTAATAAAAACTAAATGGCATGCTACTGTTCCGAACAATCTAACGTTTGAATGAATGATTACTTTTATTTTTGAAATTCACTAAAAAGTTACTCCATGTTACGATTTTGGTTCGTTTTCATAACAATCGTCAACACTTCATTGATTATACTGTAAACCAGCACTGTTCCCAAACACCAGAAATGCAATACTCTTTTCAACGCTCGTTTCACCAATCTGTTTATTGAATAAACCAAATGAGTGCTTTTCAACCTAATTCCTATTTTATATTACGATAATCTCAGTTAGCACTTGTGCTAACTGAGTTGAACTTCGCCTTTTGTTATATCAGCAACTAGCTCTGTAATTTATCTAAATATTTGTAGGTAGCTACAGCTGGGAAACAATAAAGGCGATTGTTATTATAAGTAGCACTTACAGATTTCAATTTATACATACCTCATTGTATTCTTCTTGACTATCAAAGCGTTCTCTTTGTATCCTTGTCATGTATAGAACATCTGTGTCTGGTAATACTTGTTCTAATGAACTGTACTCTTCTTGAGAAATTCCTCTTGAGTGGACAAATTTTGTCACATGACTAGGCATTTTCAAAGTTGGTGGACTTACATACCTAGAATTAAAAGATTACTAAGTATAACTGGATAGGCGTAAAATGAAACTACTAAAAACACTTTTCCCACACCGGAGCAAAAATACTGTCTCTCGAAGCGGCTTGTTATTGAGTTTTATTCAAACATTTATGTTAACTTCCTTCCACCAGCATACATTCTGTCTGGGAGTTTTGTATCAAATGAATAAACAAATAAACGTAATGCCTTCTATTTTATCTGTCTATTGAAATCTGTTTTCCTTTAACCCCTAAGAATAACAACCCTCCAAAGTCGAAACTTGTCCAAGCAAAGATTAAAAAAGACTTTTAAAAATAAATTTGTTCTGTTTTTTAAAATCTGTTTTTCCGTTAATCGGCTGTCACCCCCATAGGAACGACAACTCTCAGAAGTTGAGAAACTTCTGCGAGCTAAGGACTAACGAGGTCTTACCTTTTAACGTGTGATTCCTAACACTTTTTAAATTTAATTGCCTCCTAATATGCTATTCCTATCAGATTACAATCATTAAATTTAAATAATTTTGAAACTATTCACGACAATCACCCGTGATTCCTATACTGAATAATTTTTTCAACAATATATTGTGGGTCAATATACCAAATTTCAAATTTTTTTCAGTTTCCTTTTGAATTTTTGGTACTATATCCATCGCCTGTGTCTCTGTATCATAAAATCTGTATTGACCTTTATATAGAAGGTTAGTATTTTCCAGATAATTGAAAAGCATTGAATATATCCATTTCTCTAGGATTATTGCAAACATTCAGAAGTTGGTCAGTATTTGTCTAAATAATTTCTTTTGGCATTTAGTATATGGGCAAAACATTTTTTTTAAAATTGGAATTATTTCACTTCTGAATCACTTAGAAATATTTGTTTCATCATGTTTCGAAAAATTTGTTGGAAGATAATATAAGATAATAAAAGGCATTAAGAATAGTATTATAAAAAATCCATGATAAGCCTATTAAAAAACAATTTTTCTATGACTATTATAATGAGAGTCAAGTATGTGACCATTTCTTACAACGTAAACAGATAATCCATAACTCATATCTTTGAATCAACTACAGTTAACCAAATACATGTCTTACTATATTCAATAACAATCACAGATGAACAATACTCTCATTGGGGCAGTTCAAGTATTACGTAAGCACTATAGGGGTGCGGGGGTTTTGATTTGCTTATTTTTGATGACATAGGGTGGGAGGTCTAGATGATGCAGCAGTTATTTACTTTTTTACACATATGGCAACTCACACATTGTCTATGTTTGAAAAATGAAAAATGCCTATAACAATGTTTACGTAAGCATGGAAGGGGGAGGTGAAAGCTTTGCTTACTTTTGCTGACGAGGGGGATTGGGGTATATAATTGTAGTAAATATGCTTACGTAATACTTGAACGGCCCCATCCGGGATATTCTTCATCAATGAATTTTAAAATAATCCTGTTATAAGTAATAGAAAAAGTATTGTATTCTACTCGCGAGAAATAGACATTATTTACACTAATGAGTCAAAAGCGAGAGTCTATAAACTTCATTCTCACAAGTAATTACCGTTGAAAAATATACTAGCGTTCAACTCACCTAAGTTGGACATTATACAAAGTTAGTAGCCTGGCCAATGAATGTACAGTTCTACCATTCTTCAGGTCACCAACTAAAGTTATCGTTAATCCATTGACGGTACCGATTTCTTCACGAATTGTGAATATATCCAAAAGGGCCTGGCTGGGGTGTTCTCCTACACCATCTCCTGCATTTATCAGTGGTTTCCGGCAATGTTGTGAAGCTTTCTAAAAAAAAAAAAAAGGATTTAAATTCAATTTTCAGACGGGGTTTTTTGCCAAATGCCGAAAACATGTTCCGGTTCGTGGCAGCGTAGGCACAGAGCATGTGCTTTACTTCCAAGGACTGGAGTTCCTTGTGAAGAACAATCGACTCCAAGGTTAACAGCCCATGACTCATTTTCCTCCAACTAGTGAGTTCCTGATTGGCGATCAGTCTGCGAATACCTTCATCAGATAGATAAACAACACAAATATGTGGTTTGGGAAGTAGGTCTTCTGTGACATATTACAAGACGAAATACAGTTAGGATACTAACTGAATAGGAGGAACGAAGCTGTAGGGTACTAACTGTACCCAACAGACAGCATACTCTCAGGTAACTTTCAACAATCTAGACCAGAATCTGGAATGAAACCTGTGGATCATCTTCTGGAATATCCTCTAGGGCTAGGGACCTTATCAACCTTCCCATATGAGGGTATTAGTAAGTGCTACATCTAACCATACCTTAGATTCAGCATCATCGTTTAAGCATAAGCAGTTGCTAACCTGCTCAGAAGGAGTTTGTTTCCACTCCTGATGCAGAGTCTGCTCCTGCTGCTCAAGAATTTGGTGCAAAATTCATAAGATATTCCGCTCTTGAGGAAGCATTAAGTCGAGTCTTGATTGCACCAGCTACCCTAGTAGATTCATTATCAGAATTCAGAGTTAGAGGAGGACAGTTGGGGTCATTTAGTTGACCTCCATCTCCTGTGTAGACTCAGATTCCTTCATTACTCCACAGTTCATAAAGGGTTCCATGAGGAAGAGGGGGTCCACCAAGGAAGAGTCTCGCATTACTTTGACGAGACTTATTATGAAGAGAAGGTGCCAGGTATCTCGACGATTCTGTTAATGATACTGAGTGGCCTCAGAGTCATGCACTCTTACGGCATGGATACACCCACCTTAGGAAAAGGCATCATTTAGGAGGTCTGTTAACCTCAACGGTGACACCTCACCTATCAGGAACCCTTGTTGCAGGATGCAAAAAAATTCATTGTACTTCTCTGAAAGAATGATTTATAATAATCTGCCAAATTCATAAAGAACATTAATGTTGACACTTGAAGAAGGCAACTGTTTCAGTCTTTCATATATATCAAAAACAACAATTTTGCTGAATACTTATTGTTTTTTAGGAAGTATTCTCTTTTATTATTTCTTCAATAACCCCAATTACGAAGATAATTATAATTACCAGAACTGATCCAGGAGCAGGATGTCTCAGAACCAGCACGTCTGCATATCCTGCCATTACAGCAACGGAGTCTTCCAGAGTTTCTCCTTTTTTAACTGAAGAACTCGTCTCGTCCATATAAATGACTCTACCACCTAGTCTCTGCATGGCTGCCGAAAAACTGCAACTGGTTCGTGTGCTGACCTCGTAGAAGATGGAAGCCATTACTTTACCTGGAAAGATGGTGAAAATTTCGATATTTTTATCCACATTAAATAGAAACAACAATAATTTTGAGTAAAATGGTCATGAAGATTCCATAAACGAAGTTTCAATTGTCTGACTTTCGCATAGGCGGCATCTGATAACATTTATGGCAAATTGAAACAGTGCTGTCTTGTATTGGACTATGAAGGTTTTGGGGCTCTAAAGCGTTGTCTTCACATTGTCTTCGCCTTTCTTTTCAAATTGTTTGGTTTGCCTTCGAAATACTATTGTTTTGACTTTTCGTTTAGAGTATAGTAGTGTATACATGTTTCGTTGAAACCTAATTTTTCACGCAAAAACGTAAACAATTTGCCCAAATATAAACATCTGGAAACAAGGTTATATTATATGCAGTGATCTTGGCAATGTTGATACACCTCAACTTTGATCTCTATCAGTTCAGTGTTTCTGAACGAAAAAAGTTTGTTGTTCAAATTTACAATCAAAATGAAACCACGTGATGGTTTCATATTTTTCATATAAACAACTAATTTCACGAAAGCCCTACTGGAATTTATCACCTGTGAATAGAGAGGTCACTTTTCCATTGATAATAATTTTGATTAGAAAATATTCCAATTGTACTCAGTATAAAAATTTATGAAAGCCATACAAGAACTTTTGGGAAATTACCCCTCGTCCTCATTTGGGTTATTATATTCCCTTTTCCAAGATTTTTTTTTAAGTAATGATGAACATGAGAATAAAAGTGAAAGAATCAGTTAAAAATGAAATTCCCGACAAGAATGCTTGTCGAGACAAAAAGCTGAAGAGTGTGACGGATTTTGAAGGCTGAAAGATTTATGTAAATTCAATTATGTGAAATATGATCATTGATTGGTGGCCAGCAATATATGTTCATTTCATTTGATAATACTGATTTAAATTTATAAATTTTTCTGAAATTATCCTCCCAGGAAATATCATTTGGAATATGTACCAATTAAATCAATGATATATAATATTAATAATAACATTTACTCAGCGCAGCTGATCCACGAACCCAATTTTCACTGACCCCACCACCGCGTGGTTATTAGATTCCTTAATGAGTCTAGTGCACTCTTCATATATGTCATAGTTTCGGAATGAGGATGACCTGTCTAGAAAACCCTTTTCTGGAAAACAATATTGCAGCAGAAGGCTGTCATTCTTTGTTTATTACGTCTTCTCAGGGCACAAGATTTGCAAACCGAATAATCACTTACTCAGGACAAGTGATTATTGGATTTGAGAATGTGTCTAAAGCAATGAGTCAAGTATAAATTACTTTGAGAAATCATACTGTTCGGAGTTTTGGATCGAAAAAACTTGTCTCTAATGTCTCATCAGCATCTATTTGAACTTGCACCTAACAAAGTCTACGGTGATTCTTGTGCATAGGGTGGAAAGGGAAAAGATCCCTCCAACTTTAAACCTGTTTTACTCATTCCGACAATAGCGAAAATAACCAAAGTTGGTTAAAATAAGGCTTCTTCTATTGAATATAAAATTTGGGTTCCCAACAAACAGAAACACTAGTGATGCAATTTTCTCTTTTTTATCTTAGTTGTATTTCGATATTAATGTTGGTGAAATAACCGCAGCAGTGTTTTGCTAGATGGGAAAAGGCTCTTGACCGAGTCGACCATGGAGTACAAGCTTCACCGATATGGCTCCAAAAGCGTGACACTTCAGTGGTTTGAATCATATCTGACAGATTGTAAACAGAAAGTGAGAACTTGCGAAATATTGCAATAATTCTGCTGCTGCAATAATTCATGGAATTCCACAAGGGTTAATTCTGGATCCGATATCTTCAAAATTGGCATGCATATTTTGTCTTGATATTCATTATTATCTGTTCTGGTTCCTCAGAAAAGTAACATCACATACATGAGTAAAGTTCTATCAGGTGACTCTTGCAGGCAATTGTTCATAGATTTGAAAATAATTTCCGTAGTAGTTTTGTTCGTTTTAGAGACTGTACGCCTGATTGAAAACATATATTGAAATTAGAGGCTTCCTTTTCGTTTTGTATCACTCGACATAGTACCAGAAATCATTTTCCCTCGTTACATATTCTATTTGTTATAATGTCATTAAAATACATGATCATTTACCAAATATGAAACATTTCAGAAAATTTACGAGAATTACATCAAGTAATACATTCTAATATAGTTTGCAGGAACTTTATAACAAAACATTTTGAATGTTTCAAAAGTTCCTTCCTGAATTTTTATTCATTTTAACTGATTATTAAATTTTTTTTTACTTCATCTATTGTTAATTATTTTGTATACATATTTGTTTATACAATTCACTCTGTTTTTACATTTGACAAATAATCTCGCTTTTTTTTATTATGTGCTTTGTAAAAAAAATAAATATATTCATTATTATTGTTGGGTTTATTATTATGTGATTTGTTTATACTCTAGCATACCTGTTGAAGACAATGAGATATTGGGGCTAATTTTTTACAGTTCATTTCTACTTTCATTTCTTTTGAGACTTATAGTAATTTCAAATCCAAAAATTATATATCCCTTAATGTTGAAATGATCCATTAATTGATCCTGAAGAAACCACTTTTTTGGCACCAGAACAAAAACACTGTCTTTTGGCTAGCGCACATCGTAGATTTATTTTATGACACACATTATTAGTAAACTGTGATCTGGAGTGGTTCTTGAATTATTAACACGTAAAAGCATATTTTCTCATTTAACACGAGCCAATAATCTGAAAAAATACTTTAGAGCTCTATTTATTTCATCAAGACAATGTATCGATTGCAATTTTCCTAAGTTATCAATGCCGATGTATCATCAGCATAAATAATAATAATAATTATTCATCCTTAAAGACGTTGACAAGGATAGGTCAGTATTAAGCACATAAAAATCACATCAAACGATAAAATTGTAGATCCGTAGATAAAAATAATACAATAAAAATGTATACAATAAAAGTCAGAATTACAAAAATTAAAACAATTGTAGTTATAAAAATTGAATATGTCATGCCAAAGCCGCATGAACCCATTCAGTCGAGATGGTCCGAGAGAAATTCACCAATACTATAGTAGGCCTTAGAAAGGAGCAATGTTTTAACTGCTTTTTTAAATGCTACAGTGTTCATCTGTTTGAAATGGTCTGGTAACCGATTAAATAATTTTATTCCCATATATTTGGGAGAATGTTCGAATTTTATAGTTTTATGTTTAGGAATGCTCAACTCCTCTGCATATCGAGTTGGGTAGCTATGATAGAATGAGTTTTTAGTACAGTCTGTTATACATTCGCGAAAATATAAAAGTATTTTAAAGATGTAGATGCAAGGAAAGGTTAAAATTTGATGACTAATGAAAAATGTCTTGCATGATTCCCTCCAAGGGATGGCTAGTAAATTCCTAATAACTTTTTTTTTGAGCAATGAAAACCCTATCTTTGTCAACACTGTCAACCCCATAGGATCACATTATAACTTAGATGGCTATAGACCAGACTGTAATATACATCTAAAATGGCGTGTAAAGGTATACAATTCTTAATTCTTGAGATTGCATAAAACCCTTGATTGGTTTTTTTACATACAACTGTAATATGGTAAGACCACTTCAAACAGTTGTCTACATGAACGCCAAAGAATTTTGTACAGCTTGCGCATGCCAGTGCCATTCCATTGATTAGTAAGGCAAGCGATTGCTTTTTCAGATCGTTTTTTAAATTAAAATAGATATATTTTGTTTTGGTCAAGTTTACAATCAGATTATTCATTTCACACAAATTTAAGAACAGTGATATTAATTCCTCTGTTTTTGATTTTAATTCCTCCTGACTCTCTGCTGATACAGCTAAAGACGTGTCATCTGAGAAAAGAGTGAGAGCATATTCATTACAGGTGAAATAAGTAGGCAGATCATTTACAAACAACAGAAAGATCAGCGGACCTAACACAGAGCCTTGAGGAACTCCAGAATATATATCATGATAGTCTGATTTCATATCTTTAATCTTGACGAACATAACAAACTGATCACACTAGAAATCATTCACATATTTTGAGGTCTGAGAGTGGACCCAATATACGAGTAGAACATTGAAAATCCCCGACAACGAAAAAAATTATTCAATTCTGATCTGATAACTTTCAAATCATTTTTGCGTTTCTCCCCTGATATCATTCTCTTCAAGCTTCTTAAGCAGAATTTCATAAACCACTAAGTGTAAGGCTTTACTCAAGTATATGAAAGTGACTAGTGTCTTTTTACCTGCATCCAACTCCCTGTACAAGTTGTTGAGGAACTGTGTAATTATTTAACTTTTAATCATTTGCAGAAACCAAATTGGTTCACATTGAATAAACCCCCTTTATCAAAAAAAGTTACAACTAGATTTCAAATATATTTTCATTAGCTTTTGAGTACTCATCAAAAAAATGAACTCTTAACAAAGTGAGTATTTCTTACCTTTCAAAATATGATCCAATGGTCTATCCTTGGCCACGTAAACACGGAAGGTTTGAGCCAAATTAAAAATATCATTCAGCTGGTCTTTCGTGAACATACCGACACTTAAGATATGCTTATTTGCTAATCCGTGTATGTGGTGCGTATGGGTCAGATCTAGTTGGCTTTCAGTCTTTGCTTTACGCTCTGCATTGGAAAAACTATCTGTTCTTACCCTTGGAGGAACGGGAGAAAGCAATCTGTTGTCGACAGGAAGCGTGTCTTGTGCGAAGTGTACTTTGCTATCCGTCGATAGTAATTTTGAAAAGATTTCATTTGTCTGTCCATCATTATCGTAGTCCACAATACCATTCACTGGATATGGAGAGGTTGGCCTGTCTAGGGCAAGTATTGAAGGTGGTCTACTCATGTCAACGGGGTTACTGTAAAATCCTTTTTCTGATTCTCTGACGTTTTGACCAAAACCAGGGGGGACCAAGATTTGACCTTCTACATACGCCACTTCTCCCCGAAGTACCACCCGATGAACTGAGCCTTTCACCTATAGAATAATATTAGTATTCTTCTTTAGTACTTTCCACAAATTATTTGTATATAGAATGTATAGTCAGAGTAAGAGAACATAATCCCATAATAAATAAACTACACTGCAATTAAAGTTCATAGTGATAAAATAATGTTTCAAATAGAATCGTTTTGTTCATTCAGTTACTTTTCCTTCAAAATAAGGAATTTTATTTTTGATTCCGATAATAGGGTTGGTGCAAATTGATCTTGACGATTTGAATTGTCTGTATATTGATTTTGTGGCATCATTCATTTTAGTAGAACTCAACTTCATTTATTGTTAAAATTGTTAAAGAGAGCAGATGAGTTTTTGAGCCTTATTCAATCAAGGTACTGATGTAAAATACAAGGTAAATACAACAACTAAAACACATCAAAATTTCTTACCTTTTTTCCTGCAAATGGAGTCCACTTGGCTTTACTATACGAAGTAAATTCAGGTATTACCCATTCCTCCTCCATGTCCACTTCCACATAAGTGTTAGGCTGATCAGGAAGATTGAAAATTTTCTTGGGATTCTTGTGGAACTTATTAATCAGATCATCTATTGTTAATCTGCCTTCATTTACAGCATTCAGAAGAAGAGGAAGTATGGTTTCTAATCCAGGAAAACCGGGAGGTGCTTTTTCACTGAGCTTTTCTTCAATGGTGTGTGGAGCATGATCGGTTGCAAAGCAATCTATCACGTTCATGTTATCCCACAAAGCTTGTTGATCTTCAGGCGAAACCAAAATTGGCCGAACCTTAAATATGAAAATGATAGAAAGTGGTTCATAAAAAGGTATAAATTCAACGGCAATAGACCTTAAAACATTTCCAGTCGAAAATAAATGAAACGCTCTTTACACATTTTATCACTATCATATCATTTTTAAATTATTTTCTGTGGAATTTTGTTGGTCAAAACTTTCCTGAAAACTTCCATAGGTATCTCTCTACATAAAAAAGGGGATTTGGATAATCCTCGCTCCATTTTTCCAATTCCAGCCATTGCAAAAATCATCAAGAAATTGGTTAAGAAATGAAAGACTGAATTCTTGAATTTGCACAGTATGTACTATACCATTTGGATTTCGTACGACAAACGTACGCATGATGAAATTTTATTCCAGTACAGACTTTATTCAAAAATGAATGTTCACGATGTGACAGTAGCAACTTTCATCAATCTTTCTAAGGATTTGACTGTATTAATCATGGTATACTGCTTAGAAAAATCTACCTGCATAAGAGCAGAGTAGCAAACTCTCAGGTGGCAATCAAATGGTCAAAACAACGGAAAACGCAGAGAAGAAGGCAACTGAAACCAGTGTGCCACAGGGTTCCGTATTGGGACAGTTTTTTATTGAATGTGAATGATTTGACAAAAATTGACATATATGACAGATTCATGTTTTTTGCGTATAATACTACCATATTATGAAAACAGAAAAACTAAATTGAACTGCATAGAATATATCCAAGTTAAGAAAAATGAAAAGTGGTTTGACGTAAATTTGCTATCTCAGAACACCACAAAAACTAATCATATAAATGCTTACTTGATGATCTTCTCAATGACATGTTGCAGAATAAATTGAACACATAATTTCTGGGTATATTTATTGAAAATAGACTAAAATTTGATCACGTCAGACATCTTGAGATGTCTGACGATGAGAGGAGTTTCTAAGGAGCTGGATTTCAGTATTGCAAAAACTGCCTACTACGCAATAATTGATTTCCAGCATTGATATGGAATACTTTTTTAAGGAACATATAGTCATACTCTTTTGTCTTCTATATTGTTATTACATACTGAAGAATATTTTGAGAAACGCCATTGTCAATGACAAATGACCGTATTTTCAATAGCATCGGAATATAAGAAGTGCCCCTTCTAAAAGCTAGTTAACATTACATAAAGAAATCCTGATCCTACCTGACTCTTTTTGTCTCCTAATTTCTCCACATCTTTCGTTGACAAAAACAGATGGTGTGGGCAAACTTCACAAGTAATTTTTATACCCTTCTCTTTAGCAGCTTTAATGAGCATAATTTCTTCTTTCCTGGCAACGTGGCAGATATGAATTGGTCGGTTATGTAGATGGGCTAAAAGGATAATGGCAGCGGTGGTCTCTCTTTCGGCATGAACACACAGAGGAGCACGCTTCGGCCAGTTTGACAAATGCTTGGCCCATACATCAAGATCGTTTAAGCGAAGAGTTGTGAATGTTTCGTTCAAGTACATTTTCAGTCCAGCAGCTTTAGAAGCCAATTCAGAGATTGTGGAAGTATTATCAGAAGAGGCTCCTAAAACGAAATAGGGTCAAAGTAATGCGTTTTCCTTATACTATTTGTTATCGTATTTGAATTGAGTAATTGAACTACAGAAATTCAACTTCCATAGATATATTCGAGCCTACTTTACAAAAGTTTAAACAGTTGTCAAGGGTGTAGTACTTCTACCAGGTAGAGTGCTTCGCTACCATACAAATTAATTTTTGAAGCTGCATAAAACAAAAATAATGGAGAATAAAAGAAGTATTTTTTTTACTACAGCTATATTAACAAATTTATTCATTTCAGTAAATAATATTCAGATTATTTCAAAATTGTGTACCAATAGAGCTAATCCAAACATTTTTTTAATTCACCAACATCCTCTTCAAGTAATAGAATACTAAAAAAGAACACATTTTCTGACTAACTCATCCAAATATTTCGATCCCGCCATTTTTAATAATCATTTATTTTGCTTCTTTTCTTATACTTCAAATCTGTCAACACCTGTTCAGACACTGGAAGTCTCAATCTCCAACATTCTCGTTGAAATACAGCAACCTCATGGGCTTGATAGGAGTTTTCTCCACTTATTGTTCCCTGTAATCATATGTACGTACAGCTCTTTTCTTGGAGCCATATTCAGCTTGTCTATTTTGTATCCTCTAAATATATAGTTTTCATTTAGAACCCTGTACTTATTCGATTCCTGAAGCAGTTCTTCAGTTGTTTTCGCATACGTTTTCTATACAGTGCATTTCTTTAATGTTTCAAAATTATGAAATTTGGTATAATGTGATTAATACATGAATACTTTATTTTGAAGTGGAATTGACAGATGAAACTTTCAAGATGGCGACTGGGCACCATCTGGGAAAAAAAATTAAATAGAAAAAGGGTCGTGTGGAACATCATTTTCAAGCTCCTGACGAATACTTCGTAACCCTAGAATATGAAGTCAATATCTTCGCCTACTACAAAATGGCGGAACATTTAATACTTTCCTGAAGACAAACACATTTATAAAAACGACAAAAAATGTCAGTACGACAATGAACATCACTGTTCAGTTGGAATATTCTCATTTAGTTTTCGGTTTTACTAATAGAAAGATACCACGTCAACAATCTCTAAAATGGTCAATTCTTGTCCATTGAAAGAAAAAATTGAAGCGATTTTTAATTACGGTGCAACGTGTAACTTTCATGAGACCGAAAGGATTTTCAATGAACGNTGGCGCCCAGTCGCCATCTTGAAAGTTTCAACTGTCAATTTCACTTCAAAATAAAGTATTCATGCATTAATTTCCTTTTCGCAAATTTCAATTTTTTGAGTTGACCCATTCAAAAAATAAAAGGGGGGAGACATTAAAGAAATGCACTGTATAAAGGTTTTTTCCACAGCTGTTAGAGTTTTGGTACATGGAATGTTTCTTTCCTGCTTGGGGCTTTGTTCACGAGATAGAGTTGTTACTACTTAACAATCTTTCTCTCAGACAAAGTTTTCATATATGTAGCGGAGCCGTGTTGAAATTAATCGAGTCCCAGACACTTTGCTGTCTGGGTAGGATCTTTCCTGTACTGACGAGAGGTAATACGTCGAAACCACAGTCCGCAGGTGATCTACTTGAATACTTTCAGCATGGCCATGCTACTGGATGAACGCGAAACAGCTGCAAGATTAACCCCTGTGAAATATCTTGCATTGCTGGATTTATCAAAGGAAAATTGATTCGCTCATTTCACTGAGGCGTCAAATTGATTTCTCTTGCACATTGCAAGATTGCATATAATTTCTCGTGGAAGACGTATGCATACTGTAAGATTGTACCTGAATAGTATATTCCACCATTCATCCTATTTTGATTTTTTGATTTATCTATATACAGAATATTTCTACCGAGAATGTTCTCAGGAAGCCAGCCGGCTAGTGAGTTCCAACTATAAAATCACGATAGGTGAACACCCGATTCCGGCTCATTTGAGATGTTGAAAATCTTCAGTTTGAGCCTTGATGGGAACTTGTATGCACCTTCTTATATAAAAAATGGGTATCGACTAATCCATGATAGAAATCGCATTGCGGGAGTTTTAGGGCTAACAATGCTCGCGAAAAACTATTTCAAAAACATTCATTCCTAAAACTGCGTGCCTTGTCTGCTATCTTACCTACAAACAACGCATAGTCACACCTCGCTCCTTTTTGGGCCAGTTCTTTCACAAGCGAAAACGATTCTTCATCTACTATGGCAGGGTTGGTGTTAGGCATCGCGCAGATGAGAGTTACCCCTCCTGCCAGTGCCGCAGCCGTACATGTGGAGTAATCTTCTTTGTGGGTTGCTCCAGGTTCTCTCACGTGCACATGAGTATCGATGAAACCCGGTAATTTAATGATGTTTCTAGAGCTGATGCAGTCCGTGTGGGTCTTCATTGGAGGAGCTTTACCAATTATGCGAATTGCCTGAAATACGAAAAGTCATGTAATATGTTTATTTGAAGAGAAATACTTCTAATATTGCTTATGGAAATATTTCTTGAAAATTCAGTAAATAATTGTATAAAAACTCATTCATGTCGGTAAGTTCGTAGGTTGACTACATGGAGTGAAAAATCTTCAACGTTGAGGGTTATCCTCAGAAACTATTTAATTTTCAGGTGTATCTGCAATTTTTTGGGGTGGAAAAACTGAAGCCACAAAAAACTAGAACCGATCGCTGATAAGAAATAGTATTTCCAGTGGTGTATCATCACAATCTCAAAAATGTCTGGAAATCCTTCAAGTACGATGCTGATTGTGTTGTTTTAAAGCATAATAAGAACGAATATTTTTGATAACCTTTTGATCAGTATAAAAAAGTCATATTGTCCGATTGTTATTGCCTCATACGTGTATGTTTTGAGTAATTTTATAAGACTCTGTATTTAGAGTTATCTAGAGAAGTTACTTTAGATTTTCCAACAGTTAAAAGAGAGAATGTATGTCAGTTGTAGAAAATAGATTTTTTACTTGAAAAAGAAGTTATTTTGATTATTTTTGAGACCGTTCATCACAAAACTGAAAACATGCAAAACCTGTTATTTGCTACTTAGGCGGGAAGGCTGTTCATCTTTCACTGCCTGAACCCATAGCTGTCGCCATGGGGGGATGGGGGGGGAGCCTCCCCCCTGCTTTTTNGTGCCAGCCCCTCTGGGGACGGAATCAGGTTTTTAGAGTTCGGCAGAGCCGTACTCTTACCATCTGACCTGAAAGACTACTCACCATACAAACTAATCGGCTTCGTTAAGAATCTGGGTTTATTTGGTCGAGTGTGAATAGGTATGAGCCATAATAAACACTTGCGGGTTGTGGTCACTTTGGACCTGACCTATCTGCTACTGTAGTGAAAGCAATAGTTGTTGCTACAAGAGTTTTGCCTTTTACTCTTACTAAAATAATCTCAAAGAATCTACAAGCTTGAAGAAGAAATTCAAAATAATTTATTCAATTTCAATGGCAAATTCGTTTTTCTCAAACAAAAATTATTATAAAGAACCTTGGAAACAGGTTCCAGCAATTAGTGTTTAACTCAACGAGGTTTTTAAAATCAACAATGACTTAATTGAGGAAAACATAAAACTACAAACAAATATATCTAATCATAAATGGGGCTCTGATGGAGTTAGTCTGAGTATAATGATCCAAGAAATCAATGAGAGGCAAAATAAAGCTGCAAATATCATGATATCAAATATACAGGAGTCGAGTGAAAGAAACCAACAAGCCAGAGTTAAAGAAGACACTGACAATATCAATAATTTAGTGGTAACTCTTTCACAGCAAGTAACTATCAAGAGTCTTCAGATTGGGAAAATACATTGGTAATAAAAATCGCCCCATCAAAGTTATTCTCGCCAGGTGCGAGGAATAAAAGCCAAATGATGGCTCCTGGAATCAACATATTTTCTGACCAAACTAAGATGCAGCAGTAGTATTACCTATCGGTTACGAAGGAGGTGAAAGAACTTCATAATAATGGGTAAATAAACAAAACAATCTATTAGGTAAATCCATAATATTCCTATCATAGTCGAGAAGGCATTGATACAATATTTTTTTTTATATTAATTCCTTGTATAGAATCAACTTCAATTGAATATATTTCCTGTATCACGAACACCCTATAAATAAAAGTAGTCACTTCTTCATAAATTTCTTTTCTGTGCGACAAAAACTCTTGTGCTCGGTACTGATTCGAAACGACGTAAATTAGGTAGCGATTCCTAGAGAAAATCGTGAAGATATCTGCCTAGTAAATGTTTTTTTAACTATCATTGATTGATTTTCGCAAAAGGGCAGATTTACATTTCAAATGCTGTTAGGGGTTGAATGTTTGGTGCATTTTTGGGTTATTTGGAAGCGAATTCAACCCTTGATTCAATCGAGTTTGGATTAAGATAATAAATTGATTTCGAAATGTCTCCTGTTGTGCTGGGGATTTCGATACAATGAGGTAAGCCTTTGACATTTTCTTTTAGAAACATAAACTACACTCGTTGTGTATCCATGGGAAGTTTCAGCCTGTTTTACTTCCTGAAGTATTGCGACTACTTAGAGTTTGGTATTGCTTCACCTTTATATGCAACGGACTTGAATAGTACCTCGTAGAGGATTTTCTTTTCTTTTGAAACAATCGTTACGGAAGCAATGAACATATGAATTCAAAGAGCATTTTTGGGGTGAAGTGAATTAATTAAGGACAAACCGATGCCTATATTTTACGTTATACTAGGAACCTTATTCATAGTTAAGAAGAATTATTGAATGATTGATGTGTTGCCTGTTCACATTCAAGTCTTCCAACCGAAATTCTTGCAAGAATCGGCTCATTACATCGTTAAGTAGAACATTAAGAATCAATGACCTTTAAGTTTTTCTTTACCGTGATTTATCATGTCCATATATTAGGTCACACCCTGGATATTAGTTTATGATTGAATCTTGATGATTTTTGTAATAAAAGCCGGCCAAATCACTTGGCGCCCATTTTGATTAGAAATCTTTTATTTTATTGGTGATAACATCTTTACGGAAGCGCAGAAGGACCACATATTTTTATTATTTGTTTCTTGGAAATTACGAATTTAAACTCGAAACTACGACTTTAAACTCGACACTACGACTTTAAACTCGAAACTACGACTTTAAACTCGACACTACGACTTTAAACTCGAAACTACGACTTTAAACTCGAAATTTCGACTTTAATCTCGAAAATCCGACTTGAGTCTCGAAATTTCGAGATAAAAATCGAAATTTCGATTTTTATTTACTAATTTACGTAAATAATATTTACAGTGATTTCACTTATTAAACACATACATACGTTTGAAATTTAAATGAAGATTTATCGAATGACTGATGTTAAAGTGAACTTGTGAAAGATTTCATTTTTTTTAATTTCCCTGAACGAGTAACGTTTAATCAGAAACTCTATTTCAAACGTGAAAAACGGGTCCAATAAACTAGGTCAATATTTTTATGCTTATGATAAGTATGAATAAAGTTAATAAAAAATAACTTGAACAGTCCCAGAAAAATTCTAGATCCTGATTATCTGAAATAATCTTGAAATATAAAAATATGATGACGGCTAATCATGTGTGATCACTAATCTTAATTTGAATGAATCTACTCTATAAAAACTACAACCCATTATTAAGAGACACTTCTTTCTTACAAAACTTCACTTCATTCAATGGAAATGCATAGAATGAAACCAGTCAACAAATAAATGATTATCTCGGGAAGTATGGTTTGCTAAATTTATTATTGAAGTATACTTTTGTGTTATAGAAGGTAATTTCTGGTTACCGATTCACAATGAAATTAAATGAGGAATCTTCAAAAACCTTCTAAAATGTTTAAGGCATAGATTTAGAAATAATCAATTACTCGAATTGACTTTGGTAACATGTTTTTGGAAAACATAACAATTTTGTAATTGACACTAGAACATTTGTGGGAGTCACTTTTCTTGATGAATTCAAAGTAGAATTTGTAATTTTTGATTTATAATTAATGTCGTGTTTCATACAGAAATATACATATTGGAGAAAAATTATCAAATATTTTTATCGTAAATAGTACTGGTCATCGAGTAGAAGCGTGGCGTATCTAGTTAGTTACGTCATATACTGCTTTCCATATTTAGGTTCCTTCAGAGAGGTACTTTAAAAAGAATACTAGAATAGTATATACTTAACCTATATTTCAGAAGTTATTAATGTCAAAAGTTTGCCTACTCAACAGTCCCTATTTTCAAAAACTCAGTTGAAGAATCTATTCAGCTGAGGATATTTTGAAGTAGTTTTTGTAATTCGACCAAAATAAATAGCTTTTAATAATTCTGGGTGAATTTTGTTTTGATATTTCTGAAAGGAAGTCCCAATATTTTTCTACAAAGTGGAATACCCTTGAAGAGTATGTTCAAAGTTAGAAAAAAATAAACTTTTGATAAAATGAAAAAAATTGTTTTCAAACGTTCAAGTGCGAATGTTTCTTCACTAAGATACCAACTGAGTTCTTACACTTACCTGATGCAGTCTCCAAGACAAGTTCAAGTTGAATAATTTTCTTATGTATTTTTAGTTAATAGTTGAAGGAATACTATTTTTAAATAATAGGTATAACCTCAAAATATCCTCGAATATTTTGTTTGTCCTAGATTTATCTATATCACCAGCCGTTTCCTGTTTGTTTTTATTTTTACCACCAGTATTTGTTTTATTCTCACCATCAATATTTATATTTTATTCCACATCCCTTTTATTCAAAATAGTTTCATTCTAATTTTTGTCAAAAAGTAAACAAAAAAGTTTTGTTCTTGCGACTGAATTGCTTTGAGGAATGGAAATCAAATTAGAGTTGATTCCGGATTACTCAAGATCAATGTGTAAAATCAGTTCGGTGTTAATACAGTTCAAACATATCTTACTATAATTTGATTAGAGAAATTAGAGTTGTGAAAAAGCAATGTTTTATTTTTGGACGTTGAACCTAGTTATTCTATTTAAAGACTTTGTTGGGTCATGAATAAGTTTACTTTTAAGCGAGCGGAACAAATGATTTGTTGATTACTAAGAAAAATTCAAGAGGAGAAAGTGAATATTCGCTAATGTAAACAAAAATAGAGATTGTAACTGAACATTGCTAGGTTTTATTGAACTCAGAATAAAATTCCATCACAGATGTGAGATCAAGCTTCTGGCAGCATTGACAAACAATTATGCGGGTCATACTTGATTCAAATAAAACAACATACGAGAACAAATTCATAGAAGTTAGATCTTATTCATACATATACAAATGATTTGACTTATATCTCTCTAATACAAAACCAATGCGCATACATTTTGAAAAAAAAAAAAGATATCAATACTTCAAAAACGAATTCAAAATTGACTGAGGTATTCCAGTATTGGGTTTAGCAAAATTTCTTTCATTGATACTCTTATTCTCAATAATACTTGTACAAAAACATCTCAGGAACGTTTTGGTCTCAGAACCAAATAACCAAGCTCAATTATTTGTTTGTGGTGATCAGGAGAACTGAGCAATAACCTAAATTCGTTGAAAAATGAACTAACTTTTGCTCAGAATCTTTGAAACATTTCCTGAATAAAAAACTATAGTCTATTTCAAAAGAGTGTAGAGTAATAAATCATGAAGTGTCATAAAATTTGCCTGAATTTCGTTGTCGTCCATGGGCGTAGGCAAATCTTAGGATTATTAAACTTAATAATTAAAGTAAATTAAAAATTACAGACATAGATAATAATAAAAGGCCATTTTTGGGAAGTAATTTGGTCTAAAACTAAGTACCTACATGTATTTAGGTAAGTAAAATTTCTTAAAAAAAGATTAAGATTAATTTTAGTGGTTCTTGTAAACTTATTTAATATGCAATTTGGGTTCATATACTTGAGCATGATTTCTCAAAAAAGGGTTAACACTTAGTTCCGAGGTGCCATGTCATTATAATAATCCCTTTTTGACCCTGCCCACCAATCATGCAATACCTATTAAAC